GAAAGGTGAAGGTTACTTGCCTTAAAAACAATGCTCGGTTGCAATTTTCTTATTCTATACGAGCATTCCTGAATCATGCTTTTCTGGTTGACTGGAAGTCAAGTGAGCTTGTTATTTAACAAAACAATTAGGAATTGGAACTTGCAACAAAATCAAATTATACGTTCACTTTTCTGATGATACAAGTGATCTGTCATTGTCAAGCTGTGAATATATTTTGTCATATGGTATTCTTGTGCTTTTCTCATCACTGGTGTGCCATACTTTTTGTGATGTAGCATTCTAACAAGGCTACTATCATTTATGGTAAGATGTAAAAATTTCCTCATCTACGAGTTAACAAAAGAACTTAACATCCATTCTTAATTGTGAAACACACATGATTAGGACATGAACTGTTGTTCAAGCCTAGAAATTTGTACTATAAATACTCCCTCCTTTCCGGTTTATAAGGCTCAGTTCAAAAATCTCACCAACCAAGGTAGATGGTGAGTGGTAGAATATTTTTTTTAGTTTGCAAAAGCACCCAATTAATACTCTTGTTTTTCACAAAAAGTTATGTTTACCAATGCATTAGTTGCAACGCATGCATGCATAAATTACATTCATTGGTCAATTCTCTCTTAATACTTGCATGCAATGATTTAATGCACCTTGAAATCTGAACATGTGATGGGGAACAACCAAATTGAGCATTATAAAATGGAAAAACTAAATTTTTGAGATAAGCCCTATAAACCGGAAAGGAGGGAGTACTTATTAAGCACTACACCTATGCTGCTGCAGGAAATTCTTTCGAGTTATTCTACCAATGTTGGTATTTCACTTGCAAAGGATGTAGCACTCTGGTCAATGTTTCGGTTCTGACAATCTTATCATGCTAGTCGCCTAAATGTAGTATTCTGGTGCTTCAAGTACAACATATATGCTTGTTACAGCTTGCTCTGTTTTTCTCCCTTGCAACCATTTAGTCTACCAATGGACATAATTATTTTGGAATTCTTGCCTTCTGATGTCAACTACTCCCTTCGTTCCTAAATATAAGTCTTTTTAGACATTTCAAATGGACTACAACATACGGATGTATGTAGACATATTTTAGAGTAAAGATTCACTCATTTTGCTCCGTATGTAGTCACTTGTTGAAATCTCAGAAAAGACATATATTTGGGAACGGAGGGAGTATAAAATTGTTCTTCATTTGTAGATGGATGATGCTCTGACAACCAGAAACATCAGGAGTACATATTAGAGAAGAAGCGCTTAGCAGAGCCCTTGCTTACAACTGCAGGAGCGAAACTCATTTGTCTGCAAGATAATTTAATTCCTTTGTTGTCGGTCATGTTAATCACTTGCTATGCATGTATTTGGATTAGAGTGGACCAGAGATAGAATACCTTGGTGAAATTCATTTTAACCATCCTATTCAGATGTGGGTGCTTATTACCAGAGAAGCTTAATGTTGACTCAAATTTAGTGTTGCATAATTTTTATAAATGAAATTAGTAGTTTTCTGGTTTAATTGCTAGATTCCTCTACATTTATCAAGATATATGGTCATTTTATTTTACTTTAATCATTTCGATCACTACGTCAATTTTTTGTTGTTTGGTTGTGAAGATCAAGCAACAAGACTGGTAAGTATCTTTTGTAACTTTAGAAGGTGCTTACCGAGCCTGGAATAAATTATATCTTGCCTTTTGCGGGACAGCTTTCTTTCTGCCATATCTGTTCTGTTTTCAAAACTTCAGTTTGACCTATACATTTAGCTCTTCTGTGTATGAATCAGAAATGTACATTTAGTTTTTAATTTTTAGAGAGAACATGTACATTTAGTTGTGCTTGAAGGGGGCAGGTCAACTTCCTCATGTACTCAAATATTGACATGCTTCTAGGGGGATGACATCAAATATTGACATGCTTCTAGGGAGATGATATCAACGCTGTGCTAATTTGGAAATGGATGAGTGACTTGAGGTTGTTACTGTAAAAGTCATCCAGTTGTTAGTAGGGGGGTTTTGTGAAATGCACATTAAGTGGGAACATGCCCCTCCACCAGAATCTGTACCATTGATCACTAATCCAATGAATCAGATTGCATTTTTCTATTTTTGCACTGGAAGCTCAGATTCTATACTAGTATGTGCCCACACTCCACTGTTGTTCAAGTAAATTCTCTGATGAGTAAGTCTATAATTTATGAGACTTTTTCTTAATGAATATACAAACTACCATCAGGTAATAAAGGACAATGCAAAGTTTCAAGGGGACTCTAATCACGTTCAAAGCACTGCTAAACCTTATATAACTGGACTGCAGCTAGGATGAAGCAGCAGCAATACATTCAAAGAGCCAATAGCTAGGAAGCTCAGGAATAAAACACAAAGATGGTAATATTCTAACCTCTCAGGCTACCTTCAAATGATACTAATGGACATGTTCTCTTCTCTGAAGTATTGATGTGAGATGGAAACCATAGACTGAAAAAATAGTGAAAAGCATTGGGGTTAAAAGCACTGTCAATCCATATACAATTGCAACTAGGAAAATCCAGCAGCAACAGATTCAGGCCATTGCTAATAGATCATGAGAACTTTAGGAGAACTAATGGTAATCTAAAGTTACTAAGTTTTTCATTGTTTCATGACCCATTTGTTTGACAAGGCTTAGAAAACAGATGTTAAATCACACACAATTGCTCAAACAGAGACATGGTAAATCAACCACATTAAATTGATATTAAACTACCAGTAACAAGTACATGGTTTTGTTCCGGATAATTCTTCGGAAAACAAGGTGCCCTTCGGATAAAGCAAAACCCTTGCTGATGTGAGAACACTTGCATTTAACACAAAACCAATACTTATCAGTTCAGGTCATGAAAATTTATGCAGCCATCACAACCATGCATTATGATACTACCAATACTTGTCTATACATAGATGCTCCTAATGAATTGGTCGGGGACACTGGCTCTCCATATATTTGCCTACCAGTCTAATAATTTTGATTTGATTAGATGGATCCTGATGAACTGATCAAAGGTTGCTCCAATCATCTCTGAAATAAGTAAACACACACTGACACTGACACTGACACTGCCTGTGCATTGCTGCCATTGTATGCAAATTAGTTGTCTTAACTAGTACAATAATTTCTCTCTCCGACCTTTGATTTTTTTACTTTGAGAAAGGCACACCATAGGCCTATATGAGATGGATTCCTATTAACCCGTGAAGTAAATTCTCTCTCCGGTCTGTGGAATTAGCTTGACTTCTCCATGGCGAAGCAAAGAAGACCTTGTTACTGAACCACACGAAAATAACTATCGAAACCTTGAGATGAACATTGTGCACAGATCTTGGGAAGATGAGTGTGCTCACCCCGGTGATTGACGATGGTGGGAATGCTCAGTTGTCGATTAGTTAAAAGAAAACAAGCCAGTGCTCAGGTTCTTGGATCTGGACCAGCAAGTTGAAACATGAATGCATGGATGGTGAGTGTC